ACACCTTATTTAAATGATGCTAAGTTGATGCTCTTAAAAACTTTAATATAAATAAATATATTTGAACAATTCAAGTTTAAAAAATTAATTAACAAAGGAGATTAATAAAATTAATAATTTTTATTATTATAAAAACTTATTTTAAAGCTCTCTTAATTATTTGAGAAACTAGCTTTTCTATGTATAAAAATTTATTTTAGAGAATGAATTTGAAATTTGAATGTACATAGACCTAACGATTTCCATTTTAATATCAATAATAATCCAGATGAATTTTTTAGAAGAATTCTCTTCAATATATTTAAAAATAATTTGATATATATAATATAGGAAAAAAAATAAGAATTCCTTATTTTATGATTTAAAATATTGAAAATTCCAAACGAATTTATGAAATTAATAGTATTAAGCAAGTGATCAGCCCATTTTATCAAGTTAAATTTAGCGTTATACTCATTATATTAGAATAAGGTTCTATTTGGGTATCAATCTTTGAAAGAAACTTATTAAGAAAAGGAGGATAATTTTCTTTTGAAAATTGAAAGTTTATTCTAATATTAATTTTTGGTCCTTCAAAAGTTATAAGTTAGAGTTTTGATATTACATATGGATAAGAAGAGCAACTTGAATTGATGTTTAATTATAATAATATAAGATGTTTATTTAATATCATCAAAATACATATATGAAAATAGGCATAAATTATTATTCAAATATTTTACAGTTGAATTAGGTGATTTGATATGAATAAATGTATAATATAATTATACTACGTCTTAGATGAATGATAAAATTAAAAAAATTGACTAATGAATAAAATGATTTGATGTTAAGAATTAAATAGAAAAATAATTAATGGTCTGTAATAATATGATAATTTTTTTTAAGTTAAAATGATAATAATTATAAATTAAATTAATGTCTGAATAGCATTTGCAAGAGAATAAATTTACCTATGTAAATATCATGTTGTTTAATATGGGTAGAGTTCAAATCTTGTGATTTAGAGAGAATCTGGACCAAGGACTGATGAGCCAACAGGTGAGCCAGAATCATTAGTTGGAAAGATCAACCCAAGAATGATGGGTACAAAAGCTTTGAAAGATAAACCAGTGAAAGGTAAGAAGGAGTAAAGTTTAAATTTGGGAAAGCAAGTGAATATGGAAATAGAAGAAGGAGTTGGAATGCCTACATATGAAAATCTATTGTATATACCAAAAACAAAGGACAATAGATTATACTATGAGAAATTATTGGCTATAGTTTATGGATTATTTTAGGAATAATCTTAGGATGTGATAAAATCTATAGTAAATGAAGTATTAGCAATAATGAAAAATGATAATCTTAAAGATTCTGAAAAAAGATAGGAAGTAGAAGCAATAATTGGAAAGTTGACAAACGAGCTATTTTCAGATATTGTATTATCTAGTAAAGGAATAACAGATTATAATCCTGAAATAACTTAAGGAAATACTGATGAGATGTAATTACCATTGAATTTGGAAGAAGAACAAGATTCTAGTGATATGGAGGAAATTATAGAAGAAGAAGATGATTAACAAGAATATAATGAATAGACTATTAAAACTAAAGTATAAGTTGAAGAAACAAGAAATAAAGTAGTAGATATTGATGGATTTTGGTTATAGCGGGAATTACAAAAAATATATCAAGATCCTATATTAGCATAATAGATGGAATAAACAGTATTGGATATTTTAAAATTATAAACTGATATTGAATGTGAAAATCAATTGGTTTCATTATTTGGTTAGGATCGATTTGATCTTATTAGATTATTGCATGCTAATCGACACAAAATATTTTATTGTACTCTATTAAGTAAGGCACAGAGCAATGAATAAGTAGAATTAATTCATTCATAAATGAGATAGACATAAGAAGGTTTGTAAATATTGATGGAATTGTAGAAAAAAAAAAAAAATGATGCTTAATTTTAAATTATATAAGAAGAAAATGAAAAATAATATTATGAATCTACAAATATTACTGATTAAGATCTATAAGGACTCTCAAAAAAGATTGTTGATCTAGAATAATTGTAATTTGTATCTTAAGGACATTTTATGTCAAATGAAAAATGTCATTTACCTCCTCATTCATTTAAAGTAACAAAGAAAGGATATGAAGAAATATACATTCCAGCACCAAAACCTAATATTAATCGGGATAATTTAATTTAAATATCTGAGTTGCCTGAGTTTGCACAACCAGCTTTCAGAGGTTTTAAAGAATTAAATCCTATATAGAGTGCAGTTTATTCAAAAGCACTTTTAAGTAATGAGAATATGTTAATATGTGCTCCAACAGGGGCAGGTAAAACAAATATTGCATTATTAACAATGTTATAGACAATAGGTGAATATTATCAAAATGGAATAGTTGATATATAAAAATTTAAGATAATTTACATAGCTCCAATGAAAGCATTAGTAAATGAAATGGTACATAACTTTCAAAATAGATTAGAACCATATAATATAAAAGTTGCTGAAGTGACTGGTGATACTCATTTAACTAAACATTAATTGAATACAATTTAAGTATTGATAGCAACACCAGAGAAATGGGATATTTTAACAAGAAAGATATAATAAAATGATTTTATTTAATTAGTAAGATTAGTGATAATAGATGAAATACATTTATTGCATGATAGTAGAGGTCCAGTGATTGAATCAATAATAGCAAGATAATTGAAATTAATGGAGGAGAGATAAGAAGTAATTAGAATAGTAGGATTATCAGCTACATTACCAAATTATAGTGATGTAGCTACATTTATAAGGGTGAAATAGAATGGAGTATTCTTTTTTGATAATTCTTATAGACCAGTTCCATTGTAATAATAATATATAGGTATAAATGAAAAGAAACCAATAAGAAGAATGTTATTGACAAATGAGATATTATATGAGAAGGTGATAGAGAGAATAACAAAGTCTTAGATTTTAGTATTTGTTCATTCGAGAAAAGAAACAGTAAAGACTGCAAAGACACTAAAAGAGATGGCATTTTCAAAAGATGAATTATCTAAATTTATAAGAGAGGAGAGTTCATCAAAGAAGATTTTGGAGACAGTGATTGCTTAAGAAGATATAAAATCAGTAGATTTAAAAGAACTATTAGGAAGTGGAATAGCAATTCATCATGCTGGATTATGTAGAGGAGATAGAGATTTAGTAGAGAGTTTATTTGAAAAGAAGAATATATAGATTTTAATATCAACATCAACATTGGCTTGGGGAGTAAATCTTCCAGCTCATACTGTGATTATAAAGGGGACTTAAATATATTCACCAGAATAAGGGAAATGGATAGAATTGAGTCCTTAAGATATCTTATAAATGATGGGTAGGGCTGGTAGACCAAGATATGATACTTCTGGAGAAGGAATTATATTAACAACCTATTAAGAGTTAAAATATTATTTATCTTTATTAAATATTCAGTTACCAATAGAATCTTAATTTGTATCATAATTAGCAGATTAATTAAATGCTGAAGTAGCTTAAGGGAATATCAAGAATTTAAAGGATGGAGTTAATTGGTTAGGTTATACTTATTTATATGTGAGAATGTTGAGAAATCCATCATTATATAATATTACAGACTATAACAATGATTAGGCACTCATTAAGTATAGAGCTGATCTAATTCATTCAGCATGTTTGTTATTAGATAAGAATAATTTAGCAATTTATGATAAGAAGACTGGAAATATAGAGACTACTATTTTAGGTAAAATTGCTAGTAATTATTACATTAAATATCCAAGTATGTAAGTATATAATCAACATTTGAAATAGAATATGGGAATGATTGACATTTTGAAGGTATTTTCATTGTCTCATGAATTCAAACTTATTCCAATAAGAGAAGAAGAAAAAATTGAATTGTAGAAATTAATGATGAGTGTACCAGTTCCTATTAAAGGATCACCTGAAGATTCAACAACAAAAATTAATGTTTTATTGCAAGCATATATAAGTAGATTAAAGTTAGAAGGGTATGCTTTGAATTCAGATATGGTTTATATTACATAAAGTGCAGGTAGAATTATGAGAGCATTATATGAAATATGTTTATAAAAAGAATGGGCTTAGAGTGCATTATAATGTTTATAATTATCAAAGATGATTGAGAAGAGAATGTGGAGTTGTATGACACCTCTTAGATAATTTAAAGGATTACCAGATGATTTATTAAGAAGAATTGAAAAGAAAGAAGGTATAACTTGGGAACACTTATATGCAATGTCATCATAACAATTGGGAGAATTGATTAGATATCAAAATTAGAATATGACAAAATTAATTCATAAATATATTCACAAATTCCCAAAGATAGAAATTTAAGCATTTGCATAACCAATAACTAGATCATGTTTAAGAATAGATCTTCATTTAAGTTGTGATTTTTAATGGGATGAGAAAATTCATGGAAGATAGGAACCATTTCATATTTTTGTCTTAGATTCAGATGGTGAAAAAATATTATATCATGAAATGTTTTTAATGAAATAAAAAAATTAAGAAATGGAGTTTACTTTAACAGTTGCATTATTTGAAGTGATGCATCCAATTTACTATATAAAAGTTATATCAGATAAATGGATATCATGTGAAAGTGAATAACCTATTCCATTTAAGAATCTCATTTTACCAGAACCTTTTAATAGATGCACTGATTTACTACAATTAACATTATTATCAATAGATCAAATTAAACATTAATAGATTGAAAATATCTTAGCCAAAAGAATATTATAGAATAGATATTTTGATTAGATTTAGACTTAAGTGTTTCAATATATCTATCAATAGAATGATAATATATTTATAGGATCATCAACATATTAATCTAAGAGTATTCTGCCTACTCTAGCAATTCTCTAAATGATAACTATTTACAAAGGATATAAAGCAATTTATGTTTCAGCTATACAAACTAATTGTGATATCAAATACAATTAATTCCTTTAAGTGTTCAATAAAACCATGTCTCTTAAAGTTGGAAAATTAACAGGATAATCTTAGAGTGATAACAAAATCTTAGCAGAATGTGATATTATTGTATCAAATGCAATTAATTGGGATATTATGAGTAGAAGATGGAGAGCTAAAAAAGGATTCAAAGATATTAGAGTATTTATTGCTGATGATTTACATACACTTGGATAATCTGGTAGTGTTTTAGAAGTAATTGTATCAAGAATGAGAATGGTCTCTATGGAAATTCCATTCAGAATAGTTGGTTTATCACTATCTGTTGCTGATTATAAGGAAATGAGTGAATGGATAGGAAGTAAACATACTTTTAATTTTCAACCTATTGTTAGACCTAATAATATATAAATTCATATTCAATCATTTGATTAATGTCAAAGACCTTTAAGAATCTAAGCTATGATTAAGTCATTAAAAACTAATATTTCAAATACAGATCTCAACATTATTTATGTTTCTGATCGTAAATTAGCTAGAGTATGTGCATTAGAATTAATGATTAACAACAATAATTCATTGTCTGGATTCTCTATTAAAGAAGATTAATATCTCTAACATACACTCTAAGCATCAGTCGGATTTCTATATGAGTGTATGGACCCAGAAGATGAAAGTGAAGTACTTAGATTTATATCAACTGGAGAATTAAAAGTTGTTGTTATTACCTATAAATTAGCATTATATTATAATCTGAAAGGTAAGGTCTTTATTTTAGACAACCAAAAATATGATGGCATTGATAAAAGATATGTTGATTATACTATTGCAGAAATGCTGGAAATGATTGAAAGTACAACCTCACAATGTCTTGTATATACCTATAGTCCAAAGAAGGAATATTATAAGAAATTCCTCTATGAACCTATGCCAATTGAATCTCATCTTAATCACAATTTAGCTAATCATTTGAATGCTGAAATTGTTGCCAAAAACATTCATAATACTTAAGATTGTATTGATTGGATTACTTGGACATTTATGTACAGAAGACTTACTTAAAATCCAAATTATTACAGTCTCCATGAAATTAATGGAGTAGCTATTAATAATTATCTAAGTGAATTAATTGAAACTACAATTGACGAATTACATGAAAGCAAATGTATTGCTGTTGAAGAAGACAATGAATTAGAAGCTATCAATTCTGGTATAATTGCCAATTACTACTACATTAATATTGAAACCGTCAAAAACTTCTCAGATAAAATCAATGCAAGTAGCAAACTTAGAGATTTATTATTCATATTATCTGAAGCCAAAGAATTTGAAGTCTTAAATATTAGAAACGGAGAAGAAATCTTATTAGCTTAATTACTTTAGAAAATACCCTTCTAATCTACGAATGTTAAACTTAATGAACCCAATACTAAAGCTTTAATTTTATTATAAGCTCATTTCAGTAGAATCAAATTAAATTCTGATCTAAAGTCAGATCTTACTATTTTGGAATTAGCTATTAGATTAAGTACTGCAATGGTTGATATTGCTTCTTCAAATCTTTGGTTAAAACCTGCCATTTTATCGATGCAAATCTGTTAAATGATAGTTTAAAGTCTTTGGAAAGATGAAGATAGTGTTTTGTTGTAATTACCTCATTTCAACAAAAATACAATAGAACAACTTAAATCAATGAATGTTTCTGACTGGGCTGATTTCTTTGATATGGAAGAATCTGATAGAACTCAAGTATTAAGCCAATTTACATAATAATAAATTGAAGACATAGCTTAAGCTGGCAATAGGTATTTAAAATGATTTATTTTTAGACTTCCATCTGTTGAAATCTCAGACATTATTGCTGAAGAAGAAATAGTATAAGGAGATATCTTCCATGTTCAAATTGTCTTAAGTAGACAAGATAACATTTATACAGATTATGTTATTGCTCCTCAATATCCTAAATAGAAGGAAGAATAATGGTGGGTCTTATGTGCTGATAGAAATACTAATAGATTATTTGGAAACAAAAAGGTTTCATTCTAATAGACCATCAAGGTCGATCTCAGATTCTAAGCACCTGAAGCAGGAGAATATGATCTTACCATTTATGCCATTTGTGATTCTTATATTGGTGTTGATACCACCTCTTAATTCTAATTAAAAGTTAATCCCATTATTGAATAAGAGTAAGAACAATGATATATTTTACAATATATATAAAATTCATTATTAAATTTTATGCATAAATAATTGAATTCAATAAGCTTTATTTCTGCTAATAGTGGTTTTTCTGATTTGTAATCTTGTTCTATTATAAAAGGTAATCATTATTATATAGCCAAATCTATTGATAACCATCCAGAATTAATTCAACAACTTTTCGAAACTGAAAAACTTTAAAAATCTAAGAATATATTCTAGGATCCAGTCAATCTTAAAATACTCTAACATGATCCTACTATTGGACCTAAATATGAAAAAAATAAAATAATCTCTAGATCTATTGTTGGAAAACCTGATATATTCAAAAAAAAATAAACTATTCAATAACTTACTTCAAACTAAGACCTTCTTATGCCTACTTAATAGACTATTTAAAGAGATTCAATCATTTTTATGAAAAAAGAATCTCCATTACAAAGAAGATTAACATAATTAAAATTTGCATAAAGTCCTGTCAAGATTACCAAATAAACAAAAAACGAAAATGTAATCACAGGGTCTGAGTTAATTAAAAAAATTACCTAGTTGGAAAATAGATTAATTAAAAATAAATTGGACGAATAAAAATATATTGATAACATGCCATTTTTAGAGAAATAAAATTTATATCGAGACTAAAGAGCTTTGGAAGACTTTGATAAGCATGAAAAAATACACTCTGAACTACTCTAATCATTATCAGCCCGTATATCTAGAAATCCTAGTTGTTCCCTAATGATGGATTTGTATTAATTTAGAAGAAAATAAGAATATTCAAGTACAAATGATAAAATGAGGCAATTATCAGAATTTAAAAATCAAGATATAATGTAAAAAATTTATAATTAAACTAGAGAAATGCAAGAACAAAATCAGATTCCATTTTTTATCTGTTCGGATAGATAATAAATAATTAGGAAACCTCACATTTTCGAAAAAGATGCCACAATCTCAACAATTTTAAAGCAAAAGAATGAAGATAAAACCTTCTAGAGTTTCACAACGAATAGTGTATTAAAAGAAAAAGAATTAAAATATAAACCTTTAGCAAAAGATAAAATTAAGTTAGATATAGATGAAATGATGATAATTGGATAATCTAAATATGAATAGGAAATCTCTATAGATCCTACCTATAAATATGTAATAAAAGAAATTGAAAAGCATCCTGGAAACGAAGAGGAAATATTATGATATTATATTATTTATTATTTAATGATTGAATCATTTAATTCATTCTTGGGTTTGATCAAATCTAATACAGCTTGTTATTTGATTTGGTTTATTTGCCCAAGGACTATTAATATTAATAAAAATTTTTACATTGTATAAATGATTACTTCATAAATTTATTATTCTGATATTTGATTCAAATATCTTAATTTAATATTATAATTGAATCCAGCTACTATTTATTCATGAACACTAATGATCGAATCAAATTTAAATCCATCGTTCTCAGGATTAAACTTAATATTCACTGCTTTAATAGATTCTTCAATCACAAGAGCATTAGAACTACTAAACTAGCTTTCATCTAATTAATTCCATGTTCCTGATGCTTATTTCTTAGATCCTCTTAATTAATTCAATTGTTAAGTTGGACCAACTTAAGGTAATGATGATTGTGTTGAAGAACTTGATGCATTGTTTACAATTGGATTGACACTCTAAGTTTAATTAGTTAAGTTAGATGAAATGTTTTGATTTCTTAATTTTAAGCTTATTTTGGATTTTTCAAGTCTCTATTAGGCTGCTGATGAAAGATTAGAATTATTGATATTATTTTATGAGTAATAATTTGCACTTGTATTATATTATGGATATGAATAATTATACTATGATGGATAACTAGAATTTGTATAGTTAGTATAATTTGTTGAATTCAATGGATAACTTGTATTAGTTGTTGTATAATAATTTGCACTTGTATTATATTATGGATATGAATAATTATATTATGATGGATAACTAGAATTTGTATAGTTAGTATAATTTGTTGAATTCAATGGATAACTTGTATTAGTTGTTGTATAATAATTTGCACTTGTATTATATTATGGATATGAATAATTATATTATGATGGATAACTAGAATTTGTATAGTTAGTATAATTTGTTGAATTCAATGGATAACTTGTATTAGTTGTTGTATAATAATTTGCACTTGTATTATATTATGGATATGAATAATTATATTATGATGGATAACTAGAATTTGTATAGTTAGTATAATTTGTTGAATTCAATGGATAACTTGTATTAGTTGTTGTATAATAATTTGCACTTGTATTATATTATGGATATGAATAATTATATTATGATGGATAACTAGAATTTGTATAGTTAGTATAATTTGTTGAATTCAATGGATAACTTGTATTAGTTGTTGTATAATAATTTGCACTTGTATTATATTATGGATATGAATAATTATATTATGATGGATAACTAGAATTTGTATAGTTAGTATAATTTGTTGAATTCAATGGATAACTTGTATTAGTTGTTGTATAATAATTTGCACTTGTATTATATTATGGATATGAATAATTATATTATGATGGATAACTAGAATTTGTATAGTTAGTATAATTTGTTGAATTCAATGGATAACTTGTATTAGTTGTTGTATAATAATTTGCACTTGTATTATATTATGGATATGAATAATTATATTATGATGGATAACTAGAATTTGTATAGTTAGTATAATTTGTTGAATTCAATGGATAACTTGTATTAGTTGTTGTATAATAATTTGCACTTGTATTATATTATGGATATGAATAATTATATTATGATGGATAACTAGAATTTGTATAGTTAGTATAATTTGTTGAATTCAATGGATAACTTGTATTAGTTGTTGTATAATAATTTGCACTTGTATTATATTATGGATATGAATAATTATATTATGATGGATAACTAGAATTTGTATAGTTAGTATAATTTGTTGAATTCAATGGATAACTTGTATTAGTTGTTGTATAATAATTTGCACTTGTATTATATTATGGATATGAATAATTATATTATGATGGATAACTAGAATTTGTATAGTTAGTATAATTTGTTGAATTCAATGGATAACTTGTATTAGTTGTTGTATAATAATTTGCACTTGTATTATATTATGGATATGAATAATTATATTATGATGGATAACTAGAATTTGTATAGTTAGTATAATTTGTTGAATTCAATGGATAACTTGTATTAGTTGTTGTATAATAATTTGCACTTGTATTATATTATGGATATGAATAATTATATTATGATGGATAACTAGAATTTGTATAGTTAGTATAATTTGTTGAATTCAATGGATAACTTGTATTAGTTGTTGTATAATAATTTGCACTTGTATTATATTATGGATATGAATAATTATACTATGATGGATAGCTAGAATTTGTAATTGTGCTATTTGTATCATTTAGGGTTTAGTTATAAGACTACTATGTATAATTATAAGTTGAATTTGGATAATTATATAATTATTTATTTATTTATGAAAGTTATAATGATTTCGAGGTAGAATCATCTAAATGAAAATTATTAATTACCATCTTATTCCTTCTTTGTAAATTTGTTATTCTAAAAATTAAGCTTCTCGACAACATTAATCATTTTTATCATCTCCTCTTCGCCATGATTGGTATTTTTTATTTTTTTAAGTAATTATTCTATAGAGTCTTGTCTTGCATAGCAGCTAAGTACCAAAAAAATAGCAATCAAAGTCAAAATTTTCATTAATAAAATAATAGAAATTTGGATTATGATTTCAAATATATGAGTTATCAAATCTTATTTTGGTATTTATTATGTATGAACTTTATTTCATATCAATACAAAATAAATTTTTTTTAATACTTTTTTATATTTTTAGTAATATTTCAAAGGTTCCTATATCAAAATAAGTATCTTAATCTAATTTTATCGTTCATATATTTATTAGCTTAATACAGTCATACTGCTAAAAGCAAGATGTAAATATATAAAGAACATAAAGAAAACATAAAAAGATTATATATTATAAAGAGTTTATTTTTTATCAATCATTTCTTCATTGATAAATTATTGAATACTTTGTAGCAAAAATCATATATATCCTTTTCATTAAGACATAGGAAGCTTTTTAATTAAGTGAATTAGAAAGATAATTAAAAATTCTCAGAAATTCTTAAATATTTTAATCTTAAAATGCCTAATAATTTATGTAAAACTATATTCCACATTATTTGAATTATTAATGATAGTTAGATAATTTGATAGATTTATATATTAATTCTTAAGTGAGAATAAAATACCTAGAATTAAATGTTGTTCTGGGCTGTTTTGGATTCAACTTATCTTCCATTGTTATTTATAAAAATAGGAAAAGATTTTCGAATATAAAACCATGTATCAATAAAAAATATTATTTATGAATTCTGCTTTTATGAATTGGAATGAAAACTCCTATTATATGATTTTAGTGTATAAAAAATCTAATAATCTATTAATTTTTATAATTTATAATTTACTCTTATTTTTTTATTTATTATAGTATGTTTTGATGATAATGTTTATATAGCCATAAAAATATGATCAAATATAAATAAATCTTTAGGATTTCATTTATGAACATAATTATACTAATTAAATATATAAATTATTATGTAATAAAACAACTATGAAATTATTAGATTGCCTTATATCTAATAATACAAATCTAATATAAGTTTTATTCCGAAATCGTCCTAATATATTAATAAATAGCAAACTTAATTATAAGTAGGATTTGAAATTCCTAATTATGAAATGTTGACATAAAAATAATAATAAAAAAAATTGAGAAAAAAAACTCCTCCCTAAAGGTATATTGATGAGTTCCCTGCTTGTTATTTAGATTTACTTCCTATTCCTCCATTTCTTTAAGACTAAGAAAAACTGAATTATAAGATATTGAAAGAGAGAGGAGAAAAACAAAAAAAGATTGAAATATAATAATTACCATCAATAAGGTAATTAAAAGAAACTCCGAGATCTAAGATTTCTTCAAAGACTCCTAAGAGTAAGCCTATCATAAGATCTTTAAATCTATAATCTTTAGGATAGCAAAATCAATAATAAGAACCTTCGAATAAATAAATTAGTTAAGCTAGTTAGAAATAGATTCAACAAAAAAAGCCAGTTTCTTTAATTCTCTAAAAGTTGATAAAAAAGGTTTATCATCTACAAATCTGGCTTTCTTTTTATAAATTGCTTATGGAAACATTAACAGCGAAATGTGAAATGAAATAAAAATAATAACGAGAAGAATTTGCTTAAAATCTTAAAGGAGCACTTAAATAATTATCTGATTGGACAGATGCTAGTTTGGATGAAGCGTTACTTCAGATTGTAAATTTAAAGGAATCTTTATATGTAAAAGTTGGTGAAGATAAATAAAATCAATAAAAAAAAAAATAAATAGAAAATTTATTGATACTATGTATGAAAAACCTTAAATTAGTTAACATTTCAGATTATTTCACAAAACATTTAGCAATGCTTTTGAACACATTAATTTAACCTTTCTAATTTCCTCCTTAATAATATTATTTTAAATTTGAAATAATAAGACTAAATCCTACAATATAAGGTAGTCTTGGTTAAATAGAAAAGAACCAATAAAGAATGGTTTTATTGCTATTTATATTTATCAGATAAATTTTGTTTGCTTAAATCTTACGAGCTTGGTAGTTTCATCCAGTATAAACAGATAATGATTAATAACTGATGCTAATCTAAGCTAATTCGATTGTTATTGTTTCAATAATACATGATATTGTTATCAAATGGGTTGAAAGGAATGTAGCAAAAAAGAGAGGTCTTGATTTAGAAATGCTTTTTAATCAATTTTAATATCTTGAAAAACCTTTAACTTAAGATAAGGAAAAAATGGAAAAATAAGGGAAGAGATTTTCAGATAATGAATTAATTGAAGGTCTCTTGGGAAGCAATTAAATATAGAAATACTTGTACAATAATAAAGGAGAAGTTGAAAAGTGGGTAAAGTAATTCGAGGATGAGATGATAAGTTATTGTGATAAGATTTTTGAACATCTTACTAAAGAATTTGAGGAACAACCAAGAGAGAAGGATAGAATTTGTAAGATGATGTCTATCCATTATTTGGCATCATTAATGAGAAAACATTGATAATATAATTCACATACTTTTAGATAAATCAGTTGTGCAAGATGTCCTTTTACCAAACATTTATTTTAAAAAGCTTTTTTTTCTTTGGACAATTTAATAACTTAATCGTTTATTAACTAAATAGTCAAAAGAAGAATTTGCACTCTTTTAGGGGGTAATATTAGTGTGAAATCGTTTGTCTTTGAGTTTATTTGGTTTTTCAATAGTTTTAGAATTACTTATTTTAGTTGACTGTTGGGTAAATATTTCAATTTGTTTGTAGTAATTCAGTTGTTCTTAATAGATTTTAGCTTTTTGATAAAGTTCTTCATTCTCCTTTTTTAATTTCTAATAACTAGATATCGAATGAATAATACATTCAAAGTTTTTTTTGTATTCTGTAATAATTCGTGTCTATCTTATTGTAACTATTTTATTTAATTTTTCATATCATCATACTTCTAATTCATTAGATAGGATTCCTATAAAATAAATAATTAGTTTTTTTACTCTAATATTAGCTCTAACTTCAGATTCATATTTCTGTAATTGTTTTTCTAATTCTTTGTAATCCTTCTTAATTCTGTTATTTTAAATATGTTCTATGATGATAGTAAGTTGTTGAATTAAGTTTTGTGATTTGATAAAATTTTAGAATGATGTGATATCACTTTGATCTGCTACTAGATGGTATAATTTAATTAACAATTAAGACACTGACATATTTATATTTATATATAGTATATAGAATCATTTCAATCTTGATTTAAGTTTGGCTTAATAATCTAGATTATCCTTTTATACTTTTTCAAGTTATTATGATTTTTCTAGAACTTTCATTCTGAGTCTTTCAATTTCTTTATCTTATAATTCACATTTGCTTTATAATTCATTAATGGTGATGTTATTTAATTTAACTTCCTCTGCAAACTTCTAATATTGTTTGTGTTATAAAGCTAGATGTCTATAATTATCAGCTTATCTTGATAGATCATTAATCAAGCTTTCATTTTATTATTTCAATAAATTAATTTCTTATTCTTTAATTTAAATGACTTCATGAATTTTTTCATCTTCTCTTTCTTAACAATTGAAAGTATTCTTCAATTACATTTCAATTGCCACAATTTCTTGGTCTTTTTAAGCAATAATATTATTCAATCTATTGCATTCTCCTTCCAAAATATTAGTTTTACATTCTAATTCTCTAAAATTATATTGATAATATTATTTAAGTTCATTTAATTATTTATCTAAAGATTGATTTTCACTTCTTAATTAATGATTTTATTGTTTTTATTAAAGTAATTCCTATTATAAAAATTGAATCAAATTAGCCTTAGATTCTTGAATCTCTCTTACTTCTATTTCTTTATTTTTCTATTCATTTTCTAGATTCACTTACAATCTCTTAATCAAATCTTGATCTCTTTATTATTAAGTCTAAAGTAAACATATTTATTCAGCTTATTTTCCAGTTTATTAAATTAATTCATCTACTCTTTATTACAATTAAGCTTTGTGTTCTTAATAAGTATTACTAACATGTTTAAAATCATTTTCTAATTCTTTTACTCTACTATTTAAACTTGAAGTTTAAGTAGTCTTATTATCAGCTACTTCTTTCAATTTCTTTACTGATTATAATAAATCAAGATTTTAATCTTTTTAAAGTTAAAGTTTCTATTTTAGTTCATTCATATATTATTCCTAGGAATTTATTATTGTTTATTATTTCATCAAAGTAAATTCTTAGTCTTTTGACTAGAGATCAAATTAAGAAATAGCTTATTCTAATTTCTCTTCTAAAGCATTATTAATTTGTTTAACTTGTATCAATTCATTTTCCTATAAATTAAAATAACATTCTTACCAATACTTAGACTAAATTCTAATTGTTATTTTCTACACTTGATATCTTAGACAAATGTTATTACAATTTCGCTATTTCTTACTTGTATTATATAGATTCCTATCTTAAACTTTATCTATTATTAATCTCTTATTGTTCCAATTAAAATTTAAGAGTAGCTACATCTTATTTCCAATTGATATCTAATTGTCTTAAGGCATCTGAATGAGTCTTCTCTTATACTTCATTTTTATGTTACAATAACTCTAATTGATTCTAACACATAACTTTTAATACATTACTTTTAGTTCTTAATTCTCTGCTAGAACCTTTTAGTTTTCCATCGTCATTGTAATCGATGGCTATTATTTTAGACGATCTTTCAACTTTTGATTCTCTCCTTACAATCTATCTATTTCTTTTAGGAATGTCTCAATTTCTGATATTGACTTGCATCCTTTCTCTGGGTTTCTCTCTATTGAATTAAAAGATTATAGTGGTTATCTGATATTCATTTTGTTAACGGATAAAATTAATTAATATTAAATTAAAAATTTTATTCACATATATATACAAATTAAGGTGGGGGGTGACCAATGCTCTATCACATACCAACTCTACTAATTATTTAAATGTTATCTTATTCTTCACTTTATTTCACTTTATATCCACAACATTTAGCCTTTATTGAATTCTATTTAAGCAAATATTATTATTTTATACTGCTGCCATTTTATTTCTTATCAACTCATCCTTAAAAGACTTTCTATGTGCAAAAAGTATTGTTTTAGCTGAGGAATACTTTATTCCAGCCTTATTAGCTGCCTATTCCCATATTTCAATAAATTTTACGTCTTGAATTTTATAGCTTTCAAATAAAAAGAGCTAAAGGAACAATAACTTAGCCTCAGAACTAATATAAGTGTAATTTCTTGGTTTTTGCTCCAGTTTTCTCTTCTTCGTAAAGTGTCTGCGCTTTATAAAGGTGAATTATGTCTAGTCAACTGAGGCCATGACGTAATCAAATTACTATGAATTTATTAAAAATAATTATTTCTTTCAATATATCAAAAGCTTATTTTCTTTAATCTTCAAATTATTTATTTAGAATTTGTGACACATAACATATATTTAAGCATATTAATATTATTTAAAATTCATTATCCTACTTTTTATTACGTTTTACAAATATTCTTAACTTAACTAATTTTATAATCAAAATTTCTGAAATTCTTAATCCAAAACTTCTTCTATACTTCATAATATAAACTAAAAATATGAAAAATTAATGGAAATAAGGATATCATTCTTTTATTGTTTTATTCAATGAAGCATTTTCAATAATAAAATCAATTGCAACGATTCAATATAAATTATCTATATATTTTTATTAATAAATATCAACTATCTAAATTAAACTTTTTTTTTTCATTATTATTTACTAAATATTAATCCATTCATACTTTAATTTCAAAGTTGCTTTCTGCTTTTCTAAATCTTTTAGTATAGCACCTAAACAAATCTAATAAAAATAAAACTTCTCGAATTTAAACACTTCTCATCACTAGAATTTATCTTTAAAGCTTTTTCAATATAATCTAAGGCTTTTTAAGAGTTATTTTGATGTCTTAGACATTCACCTCATGTAAAGATTTTTATTTTTACTTAAACCTCGCAAATTAACAATTCTATCGTTATCAATTTCAAGTGCTTTTTCATGATATTTTTAAGCTTCTTGATAATATTTTAATATTCGTAAGCTTTCTCCTAATATTTGTTAAATAAAATATAAACCTAATCCTGATAAAGACATAAGATGATTCTAGTTTAGGGATAAGGATCTTTTATAAAAAATAATGGATTCTTCATATTTCGCTAGACCTCTTAAGCTTTCAGCTAAAAATCAAAAAAAATTACACCTTTTCCAAATAAAGATAAAACATGATCCTCATTCATTTATAAGGCTTCATCATATAATTATATAGATTTCTCAAAGTCTGCCTTTACTCTTAATATATCACCTAATTTAAAAAAAATAATTAACCTAATCCTCTTAAATTCATATATATAAGAGGATCTTAATTCTTTGATTCTTCTTAACACATTCTCAAAGATTCTAAATAGCATTTATTTGCTTCTTCAAAATAGTTTATCATTCTTAAGGATTCTCCTATTACAATATTTAAAAAAAAACCTTTTCCATAAAGGGAAGTACTATTTTTATTTAATGCTAAAGCTCTATCCAAAAATGTAATGGAATCTTAAAATCTAAGCATTAATCTTAAGCAATTTCCTTTTCCATTTAAGGATGGAATATGATTTGGATCTTTTTCTAATACTTTTTCATACAATTTTAATGCATCTTAGTATTTTCCTTACTTTTTTAAATCATCCGCTAGTAATTATTAATCTTAAGTACCTTAATTGATAGTTTCAATTACATTTCTATTATCAAATGATTCAGAACGTGTAAGAACATGGATTTAAATTGGATTTGGCATCACTGATTAAGATTTATATGCATTAAAATTTATGATCTACTATTCCTATTAAGTATTTGATTATTTTAATTATTTAATATGAGGTATTTTTTGTTAGCCTAATTTAACGTTTTTTATTACCTCTATTGGATAAATCTTCAGTATAAAAAATTTTTTAGTTTTCCTCTAAGATATTAATTTTTATCTAAGTATTCTTAGATAATTACGTTTTATTCAATTATTTTACACACTATTCTAAAAATTTTAATAAATTTTAAAACCATGTTCTTTCTTTGCTATTTGATTTTAAGGATCAATTTTTAGAATTTAGAGAAAACATTCATCTGCTAATTTATAATCACATGTATGTTGTATACTTTGTTAAATTTTGTTATTTTTTAAAAGCAATATCCTTAAGAATAATCATTTTATAGAATACCTTTTCCTTAAATACAAGCCACATTTTTTTCATCCATTTTCAATGCTATATCATATTATTCTATTGCTTCTTTAAAGGATCCTTAAAGTCTTAAGCATTCACCTCAAATTTAAAATAATATATACCTAGCCCAAAACGTGATGCTAAATTTTTATCATCATATTTAAGAACTTCTTGATACACTAATTTTGATTCTTAATATTTCTCTAACATTGTTAAGCATTCACCTATTGTAATTATTTGTCTCTACCTTTTCCTATCAATGATGATATATCATTTTTTTATATATTTAAAGCCTTGTCATAACATTAAATTGCATCAGTAAAACATTTTAATTTTCTTAAGCAATCCCCCTTCCCTCTCCAACAAATAATATTTTTTTTCTCATTAATTTTCAAAACATTATCATAATAATTGATTGATTCTTTAAACTTTCCTTCCTTCTGTAACAATTCAGCTAAAATTAAATTTATTTTATAACCTTTTTCTATTAATTAGTTAACTTAATTTATTTCTTCTTATATCTAATTTATAAAATAAGAATTTTAATTAGAAAATATATTTTATTCTACTTCATTATTATTAGTTTATTATTATTATTATCCATCTTTTTGATGATCTCTTTCATTATTTTCATTTCTCTGATTTTAATAATCAACTTTTAAACTTTTACATGATTATAATGATTGTGAATAAATTATATCAAAAATTTATTCCTTATTAGATTATGCCAATTCAATTAACTTTTTAAGTTCCTTAATATATTTATCACTTATAGTTTTCATATTATCTTAAATTTCATCGAGTTTATTTTCAAATTTCAAATTAGGAAAAGTAAGTTCTTCATTTGATAATTCAGCTTGTTATATATTAAAATATTGAAGATNTATTCTTAGATAATTACGTTTTATTCAATTATTTTACACACTATTCTAAAAATTTTAATAAATTTTAAAACCATGTTCTTTCTTTGCTATTTGATTTTAAGGATCAATTTTTAGAATTTAGAGAAAACATTCATCTGCTAATTTATAATCACATGTATGTTGTATACTTTGTTAAATTTTGTTATTTTTTAAAAGCAATATCCTTAAGAATAATCATTTTATAGAATACCTTTTCCTTAAATACAAGCCACATTTTTTTCATCCATTTTCAATGCTATATCATATTATTCTATTGCTTCTTTAAAGGATCCTTAAAGTCTTAAGCATTCACCTCAAATTTAAAATAATATATACCTAGCCCAAAACGTGATGCTAAATTTTTATCATCATATTTAAGAACTTCTTGATACACTAATTTTGATTCTTAATATTTCTCTAACATTGTTAAGCATTCACCTATTGTAATTATTTGTCTCTACCTTTTCCTATCAATGATGATATATCATTTTTTTATATATTTAAAGCCTTGTCATAACATTAAATTGCATCAGTAAAACATTTTAATTTTCTTAAGCAATCCCCCTTCCCTCTCCAACAAATAATATTTTTTTTCTCATTAATTTTCAAAACATTATCATAATAATTGATTGATTCTTTAAACTTTCCTTCCTTCTGTAACAATTCAGCTAAAATTAAATTTATTTTATAACCTTTTTCTATTAATTAGTTAACTTAATTTATTTCTTCTTATATCTAATTTATAAAATAAGAATTTTAATTAGAAAATATATTTTATTCTACTTCATTATTATTAGTTTATTATTATTATTATCCATCTTTTTGATGATCTCTTTCATTATTTTCATTTCTCTGATTTTAATAATCAACTTTTAAACTTTTACATGATTATAATGATTGTGAATAAATTATATCAAAAATTTATTCCTTATTAGATTATGCCAATTCAATTAACTTTTTAAGTTCCTTAATATATTTATCACTTATAGTTTTCATATTATCTTAAATTTCATCGAGTTTATTTTCAAATTTCAAATTAGGAAAAGTAAGTTCTTCATTTGATAATTCAGCTTGTTATATATTAAAATATTGAAGATACTATTCACAAATGATTATCCAAAACTGTTAAATTAGTTAATATATCTCATCACACAATGAGGATAGATAATTTTTAAATTCATTATTTTTGTATATTTATTGATTCATACTTGATTCAATTTCTTAAAGGTTTTTAAATTGTTCTTATCCTATTTAATTCTAATCTTTTGTATTTATTTCAAGTTAAGAATGATTTTCTTAACTCTAGATTTTTTAAATAGAATCTATTTCTAAATTGCTTCTTAATTAATTTGATTATTAAGACATAATTAAAAAAAATTAAATCCAAAAATAAAAGTATTTCAATTATAGAATAAAACTTATGTCATAATAATTTTTTATATTATAAAAAAATGTAAAATAACAATATTCGTTGTCCTATTCATCCAGAGAATGAATCAGTTTTTTTTTGTTAGGATGAGAGTTGTAAGGATAAAAGAATTTATTGCCATGATTGCCAACGAGAAAACTCACATATGGCAAATCCATATAGACATCATCCAATTAATCAGATATCATTATTTTTAGAAGAATCACAAATAATTTGTTAAGATCTCTTGTAATTTATAGAAGAAAGCTTTCAACAAATCTTATAGTTCAAAAGTTAGTTGATTTCATCAATAACAATGAAATATCGAATTACAATTTAATAATTCAACAACATGGAAATCTAATCTTAATGCTAAGTTATTGATGCTTTGATAAACTCTAAGAATATTATTAAAACAATTCGAAAAAATATGGATAACCCTTTCAACTAAATCTTGGAAAAAATTCAAGACAGTATAAGAGATTTGAGATTAGAAGAAGTAACGTATCTAGCATAGAATAATCAACAATTTTAAAATTTATTTAATCAAAGTAATTTATTAATTTAAGTATTAAGGTAAGTAATTATTTTAATCAAATTAATATGATTAAGCTTTAGAAATAATTAATTAAGCAATATCTATAATGCCAAGAGATGTAAATGCTCTTAATTTAAAAGGTTATATAATATAATATAATTTTAGGTGAAATATTAATAAAATAAAATAGATTTGAAGATGCCTCTTAACAATTTAGATTAGCTCTTATTGAGAGGAGAAATGTTTAATCTTTAAATGGATTAAGTAACTATTACTACAAATATTAGGTGAGTGTTATATGAGATTAGAAAGAACTTAAGAAGCCATCTAATTGAGTTTTGAAGTTTTAGGAATTGATAATTAAAATTAAAGAGCCTAAACAATGGTGAATTAATTAATATATTGAAATGAATAATGATATTCTTATAAATTATTATTTTTTTTATTTGATATTGAGATGTAAGAATTATATTCTAAATAGAATATATAAAGATTATAATTAATTTAATGATATTTTTATTATTTTTAATTCAATCTCACTTTTTTTGATGAATTTCATCCTCTTATTTAATTTCTATTTAATTATTTTAATTTGTTTATTATTTCCCTTTACATCTTAGAATTGTATAAATATTCCTTGCTCTTTCAAATGTTTAAAAATTATTCAAACAAAAATTACTTGAAATATTTTATAATATTTTAATATAAATATATTAATGGAAAAAAGCCTTAATCCTGTCTTAAAATATCATAAAAAATTGAAATAATAGAAATAGTAAAAAAGAAAAGAAGCACATGAAAAACAGAAGAAATACGAACGAATGAAATAAGAGAAATTGTAAAAGAAGTAATAGCAGGATGCAGAAAAATAGTAAGATCCAGAGGAAGAATCATAAGAAGAATAAATAGTAAAAGAAAATGCATAGGAGATAATAATTGAACCCCCAATAAATTTAGAATAAATAAAAGATGAAAAAATTAAAGTACCAGGTTATTCATAAGAATTTTCAAAAAAAGCTATAGAAATAAATAGAGCATTTTTAGATCCTTAAAAAAGAAAATATGTTCCATCATATGAAACAAGGATTGCATCTTCAATTAATGATAAACAGTTAGAATATTAAGCTAAACCTAATGAGAAAATATATAAAAGTATGAATAATATTAATAAACTAGATGCTGATGGAGTGATTATTACAGATGAAGTATTAAAAATATTCGGAGGTAAAATAGATCCTTCAAAAATAAAAATTGGTTATAAATAGAAATAAATTTAAACTTAACATTCTACATATGATCCATTTAGTAAAGTAACAGAATAGATGAACTTTGATTATATTAAAAATTTAGAAGAATAGTTGTTACCATAACCTCCAATCTAACCTTTAGTTGAAAAAGAAGAACCTTAAATCTAGAAAAAAATATTCTTACCTGATGAAGAATAGGTTGAAAAAAAACCAATTTGTCCAGATGTAATAATAAAGGAAAGTACTGTTAAAAAATCTAAGATTGATTTAGCAAATTAATCAGTTCCTTTAATACCACTTCATTTATAAAGGAAACAAAATTTATAATAGTAACAAAATATTTAATAATAATAATAATAGTAATAATAATAATAATAATAATAATAATAATAAAAACAGAATTTGTTGTAATCCTAATAATAATATCATTAATAAATTAAACAATAATAAATTATTAACAATCAGGATAATTTTAGATAAATAGTAAAAGAAAGTCAAATGAAGAAAAAACCAGAAGATGCATTTTTAGATTTCATGAAGGATCTCGAAAAGTTGTGAATTATTGCAAACACAATATTAAGTTTATGAATAGAATTGCTATTTATTTTAAGTATAAATAAAAGTATACTAAATATTATATATTCGGATTAATTTTATATATAATTATAAATTAAAATCAAATCTGATTGGATGAATCAATTTAGATAAGAAGATAATTAAAAATAAGAGATCTAAGATGATAATCTAATGTTTAATATAATTTTTATTTAATAGAAGATAAATACCAAATTATAGTAGGTTTCTACCTATAGCAAATATAAATAGAATCATGAAGAAGGCACTCCCTGAAAATGCAAAGATTGCTAAAGATGCCAAAGAAACTGTATAAGAATGTGTTTCAGAGTAAAGAATAATTTTATAAATAGATTCATATCATTCATAACATCAGAAGCTTGTGAAAAATGTAAGAATGAAAAAAGGAAGACAATAAATGGAGAAGACTTATTGTATGCCATTAATACATTAGGTTTTGAAAGTTATGTTGATATATTAAAACTCTATTTAAATAAATATAGAGAAGTATGAAATGCATAACATTTAATAGGCAGTCAAAGCAGTTGAAGGTACAACTGGGGCAACAAATTAAAAAAGGAAAAGACAAAATTCATCTGATGATGATGATGAAGATGATGAAGAAGATGAAGAAGATAATGATGATGATGATTAATCCTGAATACAAATTTATATATAATGTTAATAAGTTTATTTACATAATTCTAATCTTCATTTTAATTAAAAAAACAACAATCAAGGTTTTACATTTTTTATTTTTAAATTCATATAGAATTCTCAATTGACTAAACTATAAAGTATAGTAATCAATTTTAAGTTGCTAATTACTTTTTCTTTATTTATTGATGCAATCTTTATGATGACTTTTAAATTTAGTTACTATTAAATACAAATTCTTTAATTTATCATATTTAAGATACTTAAATAATTCCATCTTTCTAAATGATAAAAAATTGTTTTTTTTTCTTTAAGATGAATTCAAATACTATATTGGTTTAAGTTAATTTTTTATTTATTTTTAATTGTTTTTATGGCTTGGCGAGAGTAATTTAAGTAGATTTTTTTAAGAGATTTAGAAATATGAATAGAATAAGTCAAATTTGATATATAGAAGTATAATGATTGGATTAAATTGATAGATTGATTAGATGATAGGAAGCAGAATTAATAATAAAAAATTGATTAAGTTAAGAAAGTGTGATAATGATGATATATTAGTTTTATATGAATAAATATATGATTAAATATATAAAATAATGAATTTCGCAATAAATGAAATACGAAAATCAGGGACTCATGTATAATATTTGATTATGACAGACAGAAGAAGAACTCAATTAATTAACATTAGATGAGAACATGGGAGAGTTGAGAAGAGCACAATACATTTTATAGAAAGGTCATCCAATTTAAAAATATGCAGTATGATAGATAGTAATTAGATATACTCAAACATTCATAAGTTATTTAAGGTGAGTGGATTTAGCTTGTTACTTCCAATAATAAATGAGGATTTAATGAAATAAGATGAAGACACAATAGCAATTGCGATTAAAGAATTTTTGATGATTGCAAAGTAAATGAAAGAAAAAGAGTAATAAATGTTGCTTAATCAAACATTTTATTTTATGAAGAATTATATTTTGAAATTAGGAGATGGATGGTTTGAATTATTTGAAATGTTATATTGTTGCGACATTCACAATTCAATTAAGTTAATAAATGAGTTAACTGATATTGATGCTGAGACACATTGGCGTTAGAGAGGAGCTAGATTATTACAATATATACCATAAATTGAAAAAATTCAATTACTTTGTATGGATAAGGATCCATAGGTAAGGTACGAGATAGTGAAGACAATTTAGATTGTTTATTGTACTTTTACTCCTGAAAAGTTTAGTACTTATTTGCAGATGAAAGTAAATAAATCATATATATAATAATATAGATTTTTGAATTGATTTATGATTATGAAGTACAAGTAAGGATGGCAGCTATTGAGATGTTTTTTATGGTTTAATCTCATTTATAAGATAGGGAGAAAATGATAACAAAATAGTTCTTTGAATTCCTAAGTTCCCAGAATGTATAAATTATAACAATAATGTCAAGAATTTGTGGGAAAGTATTAATGGAAATTATGGATGTAAAACCTGATATATAAAAATTTCTAAAAGTGTTTATCTCATTTGCAGATAGTGTAAATGAGGAATATCGTATAAACTTTGCGTATAATTTTCCTGCAATTCTCTAAATTTTAAAAGGAGATTGTTATGATTAATTGAAAGAAACCTATTTGCGATTAATGCAATTTGACGCATCAATATAAGTTAAGAATATGTTACTGGCAAGCATTCCAGATGTTATATCTACTTTAAAAATTCATAAGACTCAATCATTAATTCCTTTGATACGTAAAATGTTGGATCATCCAATTATTCAATATAATCTCTATGCAATCATATATGCACTATGGCCAAGTTATGATTAACAAGAGTAATTGATTCTTTCAGTAAATAAATAATTTTTATCTTTTAGAAAATGTTAGTGAATGATATATTAATAGATTTAGTTAAACAATTAAATTCAAAAGCTAGTACGGAATTATTAGAATAGTTACTAAAGTAAAATCACATTATATATACAGAGACTTCACGAATTCTTCTAATAATGCGATGCCTATCTCCTTTTATTGAGTCCACTTTAAAACTTATTATAAGCAGATTCCTTGAATATTCGAACATTAGCAGCATAAAACATAGCTTATCTGGCTTATCATGATTAGTATTAAATATAATTATATATAATAGATCAATCAACAGTTAAATGATAACTCTATGCATGAATAGTAATAAGTTTAGAATGCGTATATGTTACATTGATTTCATATCATAAACTATTGATCTATGTTCCAAGAGATATTTTCATGTTAATAATTTCATCAGTATATTGGCACTTAGTCAAGATAAGATTTTTGATGTTCGAATAAAACTTAGTCGTATCATGAAAAAGATCTAAACAATAATTTTAGATAATGATGAAACTGCATGTATAGCATATGATCAAGCAATTAAATATTTATAACGTGATTCAATAATCAATGAGGTAATTATATTTTATAATATTTAATAATAGATTCTTAAATAAAATGAATCATTACAATTTTAATTTGGAGATGATTTATTAAAAGAATAAAAAGAACATTTATATTTAGCTAGAATATCTGCTGATGATATTGATGCTATTGAAAAAAATGAACATACAGGATCAATATCACCATTCATAATAAAATCAAAGAATGGATATGGACATAGTAGAAAAAGATCTTCAATAACTCGTTAACCAATTAATAGATCATAACCAAATGCTTCATTTACTCAAAAACTTACTTAAATTCAAACTAAATATAATCCAATAAAAATGTCTGAAGATATGAGTCGTAGAACATCTGTTCCTCCTGTTCCTGGTCGTAAATTACAATTAACTCTAAAACCAACGAATACTCAATTCAAACCCAAATTAAACTAACAACGATTGAGAAAATGAATAATATATTATTATTTTAATGGACTCTTAACCAAAAAAGAAAAAGTCTGTTTCTTCTAAATAAGACAAATCATAAGCAGGTAGTGTGAAATCTAAAAAGTAATAACCACCTGGTGAAATATTAGAATAATAAAGTATTCCAAATTTCAAAATAGTTAGATTCATAACATGATATTCAAATAGATGATCATCCCTAATAACATGATCCCTTTATTCCATCTCCTCCTTAACAATAAATTAAAGTCTGCATTCATCACAATCTCCCATTTCAGTTTTTCTGTGAAGCTTGTGAAGATCCTATTTGTTAACAATGTACAATCTTAGGTCCTCATAATACTTAATTACATAGAATCAATAGATTAAGTGATTCTTTCAAATTACGTTGTGCTAAAATTGAAGAATCTATCAAAGCAAATCTACTTGGAAAAAGAGAATAACTGTTAGCATAAATTCATAGAGTAAATTAAAAAAAAATCATTTTTAGATAGAATATAGAATTGAAGAAATTAAATATGTCAAAACAATTATAGAAAGAGATGCTAGAGCAGAATTTGGTGGAGTTTTAGAAAGATTAAAATAAAGTGAAGGATAAAAATTAGCAATATTAAGTCATGAAATATCTGAATTATAAAGGTAATATTCTATTATTATTTCTAGAGATTTAGATAAAATTAATGAAGTAGGATCATCATTTTATGATCTTAAAGAAATTCCTGATCCTTGTCCTTTTTTACTTAAATCAAGGAATATTTATGATTAAATTGAATATATGGTTGCTAAACCATTTAAAGTTTAAATTGATGTCTATCCATATGATTTACCAAGAGAACTTACTGAATTAAGATTATAATTATAAAAAGCATCTGCTTAATAATAATTGATTGAATTCAAAAATGAAATTATTTGGAAATTATTAAGTGAAAAATAAATGGATGAAGAAACTATCAAGTAAATATATTCATATATATTAAATAATAGATAAGAATTAGAAAGATAAGCTAGTGAAGAAATAAATGAATGGAGTAAATTGGTTGATAAATTTTCATAAGAATTAAAAAAATAATAATTAGTTTGTTATTATTGTGGATGTAAAATGGAAAAATAATATGTTAATTCAATTTGTACTTAAAATAGATAAGAATAAGATTGTAAATATATTGTATATGTCTATAGATGATAAAGTATTTTGTAATGAATAACCACCATAAAACCATCATGCTACTGGTAGACATTATTTTGCAGATCCAATCTTATGAAAATATATTATATTTATATATTTGATAACTTAATATTTCTATTTATCCTAATAAGTTTTTATTAAAATACAATCATTTATTCTATTAAATTCCTATATATTATAATAAATTAAATAGAATACTAAAATACTATTGAAAATATATGAACATTTATGATCTAATAGAAAAAATCAAAAAAATTGAATAAAGAGGTTAAGAATTGTTGATTAGCACTTTAATAATTGGTATAGACATAGCTCTAAGAAATCTTGAGAATTTCTAAAGAATTGTTTCAACATATCGTATCCTTAAAAGGATTAATTATTCAATCAATCAATTATAGGATGATATATGATTACATTTATAAATTTATATTAATTTATAAGCAATTTTTAATAATTTATGAATTTTCAAGGCTTTTTAGTTAAGAAAACAATTTAACAGTTTCCAATTCGATAAAGACCTGTATATTACGAAGATTATGCAGATTAAAATTTTGTACTGTTTATTAATAGGAAATTGGCTGATTTACGATGTATTGTTTAAAAATAGTAGTTAAAAGTGGCAGCAATGATTTATCGGCAAAGCGCATCATGAATTTAAAGATTAAAATTCCAAAAGATAAACATACTGATGGCTAAAAGGTAAAGCGAAAGAACTCTCTAAAACAAAAAACTGTAACTGAAGATGAATCAGAAAAGAAAAGCAAGTACAGATTTAGATCTCCATAAATAAAACCTGAAGTAAAACTTGCTTCTTATTTGAACGATGAGCTTTTGCAATAGCATTCAATCTCATAATTATTTTAAGAATATAAATTAGCAAATTTGAAGGCAAATTTAATGAAGTTGAGATAAAAGAAAAGTTATCAATTAAATGAATTGAATCATATAGAATTGGAAGATGATGAATAAGTAAAGTTGTTTATGAAGGACATTTGTAAGAATCATCCAGAAATAGAAGTTAGTTAATTATTATAAGTGGATGTAGATAAGAAATAATTAGAAATTAATACTCAGAAATAAACATTACAAGAATTGATTGAGAAACCAATTAAGTAGGAATAAAATGAAAATTTATAAAAAATGGAATAACTATATTAAAAAAATTTAGTTAATATATACAAGTAAACTAGATATGATTAATTTGAACCTGAATTTAAAAAGCAAGGATAAATCAATATTTGTAAAATAAAAAAACAGAAGGAGATTTAAGATTAAATGTATTCCGAGATTTTCAAAACAAAACATCCTATATCAGAACATAATAATAAATAAAACTATTTTCATCAATAATTTAAAACTCCAAATAAAAAACATTAACCTACAAAATCATAATAATTTTCAAACAATATCTTTCTTTCTTAACCAGATACAAATTAACTTACTCCTTAAACTTCTGTTATAAATGATTTTAAAGTAAGTCCTCTTACTACCTCTATTGGAACTTATAGTGATATCAAATCTCCACTTAATTCTTATAGAAAAAATGATTTTAATTTAAAATTGAAGACTATTATTGATAAATGTGATATTATTGAAGTAGAATAAGTAAAATAAAATCAAAAGATTTAAAAAAAAATGAAAATGATGGGAAAGGAAATGTATCATCATTTAGAAACTGCCAGAAACAGATATTAAAGTTAGGATAATCATATTAATATTAATGAAGAATTTGAATAATTTTTATAAGAAAATTAATTCAAAAGAAAATTGATTTAATATTAAGTTAATCAAGTTCAAAATCTTAATGAAGTTCTAAGTTAGAGGGCAAAAAGAGAAATGACTAATAATTTTATGGTTTCAGATTTTGATAAAAAAAAATCAATTTGATTTAAGCAATATAATTATTTTATAATTATGAATACAAGTTAAATGTCTGAGTAAAGTTCAGATTATAGTGATGAATCTCCTTAACAAATTTAATAGCATAGATAAAGAAAACATATCTCTGAGATTGACATCCTTATTGCTACCTTATAGATAGAACCTAAATAAAGGACTTGGCATTAATTGAAGTTTCTTTGTGATTCTCTAGAATAAAATGTTCATTATTTTTCTTAATTACGTAATAAGCTTACAACTTCAATTCTTATAAAATTGATGGCTACTATTTCTTTAGAAGAATTTACAACATTTAATGTTATATTTAATTAAGGGGAGACTGGAAGAAAAATGTATATAATATTAAAAGGGGAAGTGGTAGTGTTGATAAAGACAGATGATTAAAATGAGATAGTATAAAAAGAAGATAATAAAAGAAGAAGTAAAAAAAAGTCATAATAATTTTAGGAGCGACAAAGACATTTGATGAATTGGTATTACATAGATTTTCGAATTACAGAATAGTAGCATATAAAAGATAATATGACTATTTTGGAGAAATAGCAATAGAACAACGTATTCCTAGAACGGCTACAGTTGTAGCAAAAGAACCTTGTATTTTAGCAATTATAACTTTTGATGCTTATTAATCATTACTTAGTGAATTGTAGGCTGATAATTTATAATTAAGATAAGTTGTGATAGCAAGGATGTATCCATTTAGTTAATTGAATGAATAACAATTTTAATAGATATTACATAATTATGAGGAATTGAATATATAAGGAGGTTGTTTGTTGCATAAAGAACATTAGAATGCAGATGCTATTTATTTGATAATTAAGGGGGAGGTTTTAGTTTAAATAAAAGAGTTTGTAAATAATGCAGCAGCTTAGATTTAGGAATAGAAATATTTTGTAAATTTCTAAAAACAATAAAGAATCAAAAATATTGGGTTGTTTGGAGTAGGATAAATAGTTGGAGATTATGAGTTATATTTGAATAAGAAATATAAATAAAAATTAATAAGAAGAACGACAGCTATAGTTAAGAGTGATTCTAAAATTATTAGGATTCCTATAAAATAATTTGTAGATGTAATAGAACATGGATTATCAGCTAAATGGCTTTTACGTTATTTAAATTAAAAGTATGAATAGAAAGAACAATTACCTATTTTATAATTAAAGGATGAACAGGAAAATAAGAAGGTTTAGTCATTCATATCTCCATAATTTAAAAAGATGATTGTTAGATTGAAGAAATATCATGATCATAACAAAATCTCAAGTGATCGATATCATTAAATTAATTACAAATAAAATTTAGAGGAAGCAAATACTGATGAATAACCAACAGGATTAAAAAAAGAAATTAATTATTAAGATAAATCAGTCTTGAAATATTTAACAAAAGATTAGATCTAACATAAACGCAAGAATAATACATTAACCAATTTTAGTATTGAAAAGTTTGCTTCAACTTTAAAATCAAGAATTAAAATTACTAAACTTTTAACTCAATTAGATGATGAATCAACTTGTTATAGATTTCATTCTACACCAACTAAAACTAATGGATATTCATTTAAATATGCTTAAACTCTTACTAATATTCAATCTCCATAATAAAAGTTCAACTAAACATTCAAATTAAATTGATTTTTATTTATTTATCAATTTATGTATAAAAAATAATCAGCTACACCTGATTCATCTAAACCTAGTAAATTACAGATTGCTGTTAATTCAGTTATGGAACAATAAGAACAACCAGAATAAATGGTAATTATATAATCTTATCATTCCAAGCTATTAAAAAAGATTACCAACTTATTTTCTAATAAATAGAGTTCTGAACATGATCAAAATATTTAATATCAACGATGCTTATATATTTTACAATTAGAACCAGATGATAGATCATAAACTTAAGCAAAATAAATTTAAAGTTATTTTGAGAAGCATTTTCATTACATTGGGTATGTAATTGTGAATATTTAAGTCAATTACGAGGATAATTATCAGAGGAACTATATTTAAAGTTATTCAAGAATCTTTTATATGAGAAAGTAAACTAATTTGAATTGGTATTCAATTATGGAGAAAAGGGAAGAAAAATGTATTTTATATTGGAAGGTGAAGTAGGTATTTTGATACCTTAAGAAGGTGAACCAAAAACTGAACGTTAATTAGATCGTAATAAAATTAGTAATAATGCAAGTATAAGCAATTAAACGATTTGATGAATTAATATTGCATAATTACAGCAATTATAAATTAGTTGCCATAAAAAAGAAATCAGATCATTTTGGTGAAATTGCTATTGAGTAAAGAGTTCCAAGAACAGCAACAGTAGTAGTAAAAACAGAGTGTGTTTTTGCTACTTTGTCATACGATGCATATTAAAGTGTTTTAGGTTAATTACAAGAATAAATAATGAAAAGAAAATTTGATATAATTAGATCAATTCCTCCATTTAAGAATTGGGTACATACCTCATAGTATGTATTTTTACATAATTGTGAGGAACATACTTTTGAAACAAACAATATCATTTATAAAAGATTTAATAAATGTGATTCAGTGTATTTGATTATAGAGGGAGAGATTTTAGTTTAGAAATGGGAATAATATAGATTAGATTCTGAAGAAAATGAATTGTTTTTACCACATGGTGATAAAATGTCTACTTTGGGTAGATATTCAAATGGACAAGTTGTAGGGGATTATGAAGTTTATTTAACAAAAATGCAATAGAATTAAGTCAAGCGATCTTCTTAAGCAAAATGTATGGTTAAAACTTCTGTTTTAAGAGTTCCAATATAATAATATATAGAGAATATGCGTAATAATTAAAGTGAAGAATGGTTACAATAATATTTTGAAGAAAAGTTTAATAAGAAATGGATTAATTATGAAAGTATCATATCACTTCAGAAAAGTGTATCTGTTCCTATAAAGAATTAATATATTCTACCAAATGCTAATTAGAAAAGTACTCATATTTTACGTAAGATTTCTTAACCAAATACTACAAAGTATATTGATTATAACTCAAATTTAAATGAGAATTAGGTGATCACTTATTCTCATGATTTATTGAATCTAATGAATTAAAATCGTAAATACAGAGATAATTCTTAAAATAATAAGAATTTACATTTTCTTCATTCTTCTTTCAATATTATTAAAAGTTTGAAGAATAGAATTTCAAATTATTAAGATAGATTTCAATTAGAAAGTAGAAGTGGAGTTTAATCTTAAAGTATATTTGATAGAAAGAGATGTTAATCTCGTATTGATTTTGATAGTTTTTAAACGTAATTCCTATTAAAACCTAATACGTGTTCTTAAAAGAAAAGAACAAAATTCAGGAGTATTCATTAGTTTTAAAATTTATCAAAAGTTATGAAAGTTGGATCTTGATTACTTTATATAATTTTATCTTCATTTATAAAGTTTAATGATACAATCAGAAGAAGACAGCGTTAATAGTGTTAACAGTTTTACACCTGAATCGTAATATTAATTCTTTATCTTTAGAAAAGAACAAAATCATGAGGAACATAAAAATAAAGACTCAAAAAAATATGCCATAATTGATTAATCAATTCGTGTAAAATTATTACATCGTATACTTTCAAAACAATCAACAATTAAAGATGCAGCTAAAGAATTTGGTGTTAATTTTTCAACAGCTAAAGCTATTTTACAAACTTATAGAAAAGAAGGAAGAATAGGAAAGAAAAAAACTAGAGAAAGAAATAAGAACAATAAAGAATCAGGATAAAACAGTTCTCCAAGAAAGATCTAATCAATGTATAACTTAGAATAACCTTAAATTATGAGAACAATCTCTCCAGAATAAAAACCTTAATTATAACCAATTATATAACCAATTTTCCCTGTAATGAGTTCACCAAATCTTGATAATGCTGGTGCATAAATTGCTTTGGCACTTTGCTAAAGAGAATTGGCTCAATAAAAATTAATTCATTTCTAATTAATGATGATGATCCAAGTAAATTGAATCTTTATTAATTTAGAACTTCAAAAATATTTCACAATTCCAAGTCAAAGAGGAACCTAATATAATTAATTGAATAATAAATAGATATTTATTAATATATATTTATCTATTTCTTATCTATATATATATATATACAACATTTATCATCACTATTATTATGGTGCCCTTTCTGCTGATTATAATTCCTCTAGTTTTTATAATTAATCAAAAATTACCCATTGGCATTTTTTTTACAAAAAATAACATAACAACTGTAATTGCAATCATAAAAAAATACTAATTTTGATAAATTGATGATAAACTTAACTCTTCCTCTTTCTATTGGAATATATTAATTTTTATTTTACTTCAAAATAATCTTTTCTTTAAATAATCTCAAATAACATCTAATCCCTTGTTTGAATTCTTTATTGTTTGCTTTACTATTGCTATTTAGGTCTTTATCTTAAGATTGGATGAATTTTTGAAACTGCAACATTTGTACCTTTATTGCTGGTATATACATCAATAAATGCGGATTCATAAACAAAATATCTAGAGTGAACTTCTAAGAAGTATCTTCCATTGGGAATATTGTAACTAGGATAAAGTTAGAGTATTATACAATGCAAAGATTCCGTTCTTTTAGGTGAAGGTTTCATATTATCCATAATTGAGTGTAACTTTGAGTATGGAATCATCTTAGACAAATTCTCTTTGTAATTCTTTAATAATAATTGGTGGTGAAGATTTTACATTATAAGACCTTGCCTTCAATTTTGGATTAGACAGCAAAGGCAATAAGGGGAAGAGCCAAGAGTAATGGTATATGAAAAATGGCCATTTAATATATATAAATATATATTTGTTATAATTTGAAAATGGAATAAGGAATTGAATAATGTGGATTTAGTAATCGATATAGATAAGTAGGATAGATAGTGAGTAGTGGAAAGAAAAAGATGAAGAAAGAGGAGGAGGGTAGTAAAATAATAAGATTGGATAAATTGAGATAGTAAATAGTGAGTTTAGAGATTGAAACAAAGAAACCAAAAATAAAATAGAAGAAATTAAATAGTGAGAATATGTTGTTGATGGAAAAATAACAATTAGAGGATGACATAAAAGATATAAGTTAGAAATTAGAGAGAATGAAAGAAAAGAAGTAAGAGAGTCGATAGTAATTAAACGATTGGTTATAAGAAAAATAAGTAAAGTTGAAATCAAATATTGTTAATAGGAGTTTGAAAAAAGATGGAACAATATTTAGAATTATGATGAAATTTAAAGTTTTTAGGAAAGAATGCAAAGTATTTGATTATTTATAATATTATTTTTTTGATACTAGCTCTCCTAAACGATGATTAGGAACCACCTAATAATCAAATAGAGATTTTGACAAAAGAAGTAGAGGAACTTTTATGTTTCAAAATTGAAGACGAACCATTAATATAAGAGAAAAGGAAATATGATTTATTTACAATAGAAGAAGAACAATAAGATTAATCTTTTACTTGATATATATATATAAATAAATAATAATAATAATAAATAAATTAAATTATATA